GGCCCAGCGCTCCCGCCGCAGGCCGCGAGGCTCGGCCCCCCGGCGCCGGCCCCTGCCGCCACGCTCCCGAGGAGCCGCGCCCGCCCCGGCACCCCGGCCCGTCCTCACCGCCACCAGCCGCGCTCCCCCTCGCCCAGGTATAAAATCCTCTCGCTGCCCCGGTGCCTTGTTATGGCGACTCGACGCTCCAAGATGGCGGCTTCCTCCTTCCTCCCGTGCGCCCTCCCCCTCCCGCCGGGAGGAGCCACCCCGCCCCGCACGCATCACGCACAGACGTACGTGCGTACCTACGTACGTTCGGCGTGCACTGCGCGCCACGTGACAGCGCTGGCCCCGCCCATCCCTCATCCCGATCCCTTATCCCGATCCCTCATCCCGGTCCCTCATCCCGGTCCCTCGTCCCTCATCCAGGCTGGTCTGTCGGCCCTGTTGTTTCTGAAGAAAAGGCTTGGAAAGTTAGCGTGGCTTCGCTCTGTAGTCATTAAAACACAGCGAAAACAAATGTAGGAACAAAAGGCTGACCTCAGCGGGCAGGAGCTGTAACCTCCGACCGCGGCAGGCCTGGGAATTGCCATTCCCTTTCAGACGGCTGGCTGTTCCTTACACACAGGTCTTGACAAACCGGACCACAATGGGAACGTGATCTTAAAAACAGTAGCCTAAAAATGCTGGTAATTCGAAAACTGCTTCGCCGACAAGTTTTTGTTCAAATGTTTTCCAAAATAGGCACAAAAAGACAGGGAGGGAAGTTCATTTACCCTGACATGGCTGCTTTTAGCTTGTTCCTCACATCTACAGCTCTCTCAGGGTGGTTGTTTATCCACCCCCAGCAGCCAAAGGCACACCTGGGGCTGGTGGGGCCGTGTCTGCCCTCAGCCCCACTGGAAGTCTGGGGGTCACAGCAGGGGAATGAAGCAATGCTGTTCCCTCCTCTGACAGCCACAGCACAGTCATCTCCATCAGGCCTGCTGACCCTTCTTCTGTAATAACTTCATATGTTCCTGCCCAGTTCTCATGGGAGATCAGTGCAGTCTCATCCTTGATTTCTTTTGTTTGCTGCCTTGCAGACTCTGCTCTGCTCTGAGGCTGCTGCCCTGGACCGAGCTGCCCTTCCTCGGGGCACAGAGGTCATCCCTGGTGTGAAGCTCCCTTGCCAACCTCTCTCCTACCTGATGCATCCCTCTTTCTTTTCAAAGCTTCTGTTCCAAGTGTGGCAAGTGAAAAAGGAACCTGAAAAGACAGGTGTTCACGTGCCAGGGGAGCAGAAAACTGCACCTCACCTGTTTCTTGCTGTGCTACTCATTGGCCAAAGGGCGCAGCAGCCATAGATGGGAAACCCTCGACTGCCCCACACACAGAGGCAGATGCTGGGCACGACCTTCATTCTGCTGCTCCTGCTGTTGCTTTGGCCCTGCTGTGTGGGGGCTGGCATCTCATCTCAGCTCCTTGTGGGGCTAAGCATCACACTTCCCAATGAGTTGTGCAGGAAGTGGCATGTTCTAATCTTGAAAGAACAAATAACAACAGAAATTAACAGATTAGGAAACATGCCTGACATCTGCAGGCAGCACAAAGTTTTAGTTATGGTAACAGCAAATAAGACTAACAGAGAACATTAGAGTTGAGAAGACTCAGGAGCCAGAAACAATCTGGCTTTTCTCCAGCAGATCTCAGAAAGTCAGTGTAGTGCCCAACTGGCCAGTAGAGGTGCTTATTAGTCACACAGTTACAAAGAACATAGCAACTTCACACAGAAGTACTGCATTTTGACATCCTTCTGTAGAGCTGAATAATTTCCTATTATCAAAATACTGCATACAAGTTAAGGAAATTTTACATTCCTGACAAAACAAGAACAATTCTCCAGTGAGAGTGTATATCTGTGGCAGAAAACCAGAGCTCAGACAGGAATTCCCATGTATGGACATCAAAACAATCCTCAAATTGAGGAATTTGGTAACAGTCTTCTTCCACAGTCAGTTCCTTACCTGTCTGTGTAGGGACAGGCAGGTTAAAAATGTATATTTAATTTCAATTTCTTTCCATTTATTTTTCCCTTATGCTATTCTCTCTTATTATCATATTTCTTGCATTTCACGTTACAGCAACACAAAGATCCTTTAGGTCATGCCTGTAGGGCAGCAGTCATCTCCTTGGTGTAGTGTGTGTTTGCAAGTGAAATCTTTTGTGTCTGTTGCTTTGGAGCAGGCTCCTTGAACCCCTGTCATTCCCACACCACATCTGAGGGCCAAGCTTACAGCGTGGGAAGCATTTCCAGACTGCAGTTCCCCACAGCTGCCTTCTGTGGCCTGTCCCTCTGAGCTGAGAGGTTCTGCATCATCACTCCCTCACTCTCAGACTCACACTACCTTACTGCCCTGTCCTGGGGAGCAGCACCCTTGCTGCTGGCCCTTAAAGGAAGTTTCTGGTGCTGCGTGCTCCACCCTCCACTTCTAGCTGAATGAGAACATCCTTCCCAAGCTCTCAGTCTCCCAGGCTCAGTGGTGCCCCACTCTTCATGCTGCTCCACAGCCCTGGCAGGGCAGGCCTCGGTCTGTGTTCCCCCCTGGGAGGCAGAGAGCAAGCTCCCTATGGCCTCCCTCCAGGTTTGTTGCTCTCCATCCTCTCCCTTTTGGGAGAAGGGGTGCCCAGAGGCTGATGAGCACATGCAGATGCACACAAAGGTCCTCAGGGCAGGGAAGGACAGCCAACATCCTTGTGGCAGCAGTGGCCCATTAAGTCAGGATCACCTGGCTCCTGCTAAGAAGCAGGAGGAGTGAATGAAATCAAACACCACCTCCTCCTTCAGTAGACCAAGTCCCACTCTTGCTGGTACAGAGGCCTTGGTGCAGCTGTGCCCAGAGAAGAGGAGGACAAACACTGTGCTTGTGGAACCACTTCAGCTCTTCACAGAGGAAAAGCTTCCTGCCAAAATGCCAGCTGCAATGCCATCCTGCTCTGCTGACCCAGACTGGGGCTTTCTCACCATGAATCTGCTGCTGTAACATCAGTGAACAAAACACACATTCCCTTGAGCAGAGAAAATCTTGATTTCCCATTTTTATTATCCTTTACTACCTTGTGAAATCAAGGGGCCTTGCTTCTGTCATGCAGCTGCCCAGCCCCTCCTGCACTTTCCTGTGCAAGCCACCTCACCCTCCCGCAAGCCCAGACGAGGGGCGAAGCAGCAGGAGAAGCAGAAGACAACCACAAAGCCACTGGGGTTAAAGCAGCCAGAAGGACCTCAAGGCAGAGGGTGATGGTCATATAGACTATACCTATGCATTTCACCTCCAGGTGTCTTTGAAGTCCTGCATGGCTCCAGAGATCCAGGAGTATCCAGAGATCCTGCCTGGATCCAGGAGGTTTCTGCTGTGTTCCTTGGCATAGAACTTTCCAAAGCCATTCAGACCACCTGGGACAAGGACAGCCATGGGCAACAGCCCTGGAGGTTTCCAGGGAAGCTGTAAGGATGTTCTGAATCTTCTCTGGTACAGAACAAAGGAATGCGGATTCTTCAAACTGTACTTTAAAAATTAACTTACAGTACTAGTAAAAAGATGATAAAGCTAGATGCTAATCCTTACATCAATCAGGTCACTATGCCTGGAGCTCATTTGCCTTGCAAATAGTCTATTGTTACATGCTGTGTCCCTTCCTACTCAAATTACTAACTCCACCCCAAAAAAGAACTTCTGTTGAAACTTCTGTAGAAGAGACAGATCCTGCTCCTGAAACCATGGGGCCTGTCAGCTACTCATCAGAGACCTATGACTTGGTGAGTTGGGACTGGCTTTGCTTGATAACAGGGAGAGCAGGTAGAGCTGGGGGGGGGCTGAAAGACTTGTTTTCTGTCTGTCTGTCTTCTCACCCTCCTGTTGGCAGAGGAAGAGCTTGAGCCATTTCTTAAGACAGCACAATCAGCCCTTGCATCCCTTAAGTCCCAGCTTGGCCACAAACACAAGGCTGTTGCTTGCAGAGAGCCAGCGCAGTGTGGCTGCAGCTGATCCAAGGGTGCTGGATATTCCCATGGGGAAAGCTGCCGAACTGCCGGGGCCTCGTGTGCAGCCATTCTGGCAAGCACTTAGCCTGAGCACTGTCCTTGCATGAGGACAGACCACAGCCTCTGCAAAGGGCCAGGTGACTCCCTGGGAGAGCGGGGCTCTGGCAGCCCCATACCCACTGCCAGCCTGTCCCAGGCTCTGTTCCCTGCTGCCCATGCAGCCCTCGACACCTCGGCGTCAAACATTCATTCCGAGCCAGGCACCTTCTGCACCAGCCTTCAGTGGTATAAATGACTGTGCACACAGTATGCAAAGCCCTGTACACCTCGTCTGGTCTCCTTACACAACTGGAATACTCAAAGCAAATCCAGTGCGGTCTCTCTCTCTTTCTCTCTCTCTCTCTGTGAAAATCCTTGGTACAACCTTACGTGCTCCTACCCCTGCTTGCCTTCTCCACATACAAGCTGCCACAGACTCTGTTGAAAGTATATTTACAAGAGGGACATTTTGAAGAGGGGAAAATAAATTACGAGTTGTTCTAACAGGGAATGATGACACAAGGCATTCTGCGTCATAGTTCTCTCCCCAGCGTTTGCAAATGAAAGACAGCAGCTGCACCTTTTAGAGTACGTTGAGGTATCCAAGGGGAAGTACACAGCAGCACTACCATCTCAGAATTTATTTTTTAACCAATTGAGCAATTGTGGAAGGAAAAACTATGAGAACGTTTGCACAGTGAGTACAGTGAGAGCCTCATCTAAATTTTGATACCATCCAAGACTAATCGACTCTGTTATCTTGTGGAAAAGTAAGGTGCCCAAAATGATAACCCCCTTTCTCCATAGCAAAAATGCTTTGCTTGCTTAACCTTCCTCAACTGCAGCCTAGACAACCAAAATCACAGGTGCAGAAGAACCATTGAGATCTCCACCAGGTCTCTTGAGGAGCTGCAGACCAGTTTTCATTGTAATGGGACCAATATGACTCAAGAGCATAAACGCACCTGCACTACAGTAATGTGGCATTTCCATGGGCTTTGGTCTTATTCCTAGCTTTCCCTGGTTCAGCACCCAGAGAGGTTATGAGCAGAAGCTCTGTCAGTAAATCGCATTGATGTGGGCTATTTCAGTTTTAAGGTTTTGGGAATAAAATGTGCTGCTCCCAGCCCTGGCATGGGCTAGAAGGGAATGACTCACATGGAAAACCCATAACAGTGCACAAGCTGCTTCACTTCTGCAGCCAAATGTTTTGATCGCTGACAGTTGTGGGGAACTGAGAAAAGCAGCTGCCACATGGAGACCAGAATAAATCTGAATGTGGGTCAGGGGTAGAGGGATCCCTGAACAAAAAGCACACAGGAACAGCCTTCCCAGGTATACATTTATTACAGAAAGAGACACCACTTTTTCTCCCACCCCCAAATCTGGCTGCAATTGTCTTGGAGGAGACCTGTTCAAAGGTCCCTCTGCATACACACTGTTGACTTATCCCATCCCAGATCAGGCAGCCACCTGCTTCCAGTCCTAGAAATGGGAATCACAGCAGAGTCCCCAGAATCCTCTCCTTGGCACATTCAGTGCATCTCCTGCAGCTCTGGTCCCTGTCCTTCCTGTCTCAGCCTGGACTGTGACTTTTCATCCTCATGTCTCCAACTCATCTCTGTCCGCTTCCACCCACACACGCTGCTCTGCTCGGAGATGCATGAGAGGATGCCTCAGACTCAGCTCCGCACATGCTTCCCCTGCCCACAGCAAATGGCTTTACAGTAAGAGCCCTCCCTACCTGCTCCCCATCAGCAATCAGATGGTGTCTGATAGTGGCACTCAGCCTCTGCACCTCTGGCTCCAAATACAAGGTGATGCTGGAAGCTGGTCAGTGGCCAAAGCCACTGAACACCACCCAGGCTGTCCACCCATCAGCATCAATGGTGCTGGCATGGCTCCAAGGCAGGACTGACACTCCAGCCAGCAAACCCAGACATTTCCCATCCTTTCCTTTTTTTCCTTCAAAGGTGGAATCATCCAACCTTTCCCCAGTGAAATTTCCCATTCCAACATATAATTTGTTTGGGGTTTTCCACACGGTCACCTGCACAGCCTGAGCAGTCTGGTTTGGTCAGTCCACTAAATTGCAAAGGTTTTTGGGTTGGTCTTGTTTTTCTCAAAGAGATTCAAGGATCTGGCACTGGACAACACATCGCAGGTTTCTATGTGTTGGTAATTCTTGACAAAAGGTCTGGGTACAGACTAGGAAATGTTTTCAAGCCAGGGAGAAAAATAACTGGGAGGGAATTCTAAAAGCTTTTGTCTTTAGCAGCAATCTCCAGTTTCCAAAATCATATCCTTAACCAGAAAAATAAATGTTCTTTGGGAATACAAAATGCTTTTCACCAAAGGTTTGCAGCCCCATCATCACATTAGGGGAAGACAGGTGTGTGTTTGAGGTTTTGGGTAGGGGGGATTCCTGGCCCCCGAGGGGACTGGCTCTCACCCATTCAGGAGGAAGCACCATGGCATCAGAGCACAGCCACAGCACCCCTGGATGCAGAGTTGGTGGAGAACAGGATGGTGGCAAGACCAAGAGTAACTTTGGTCAGAGCAAAGTCTGGCTCAGCACTCTTTCTGGCAGTAGCCAAAGGCAGAGGCCCAGGGAAGAAGGCAAGAGCTGGGCAAGGCTATTCTGCACTTTTCCCAAGGGCTTGTTTGCCCTCCTACCATCCACTGCTGGGGGACCACCTGAGCCAGCTGTCTGCTCTACGTGTTTACTAATGCTCCGTAGACTTCTGCCACATCAGTGTGCCTGGCCCCTCCTGGAGCCACGCAGATGGTTTCAGCAGCAGAGCAGAGCAGTTCAGATGAGCCCTGCCACTGCCTCTTTACCCCAGTCACGTGCGGAGGCACCCAGTGCATTGCCCAGGGAAGGCTGCCTGAGAGAGAAGAAACATAAATCACCCTTCCCTAGCCAGGAACAATGCAGGACTCCAGGCTGGTCACACTCATTTGGCTTAGTAGCACACTGGGTGAGCAAAAACCCCCAAAATCAACTCTAAAACTGTATAAAGCAGGGCTGGTATTTTTAGACAGGAACTTTGGCAGAGGAGGGAAGGAGCAGCAGGTGCAAACGGCTGCAGCTGGCAGTGAAAGGTATGAAAGCAGCAAGCAGAGACTTCCGCTGTGGTTGACACTGAAGTCTCAGCACAAGTCTCTGGAGAGGGTGTGGGTGGGGGACCTCAGGGTGACTGCTGCTGAGCTCTTCCCACTTGTCACTAATTTTTCAGCTTGCCACAAGCCTCCTGCACTGCTCTCTTTTTATGCTCATCCCAGCCCTTTGCTTTTGTGAACACCCAACTTCTGCAAGGTGCCCAAGGCCAGCTGGAGTATGCCCACTGTCCAGGAAGTTCATCCTGAGTGCAATTCCAGCTTCCCGGCAATTGATACTTGCCCGCAGCCTCAGCCCCAATACAGGCTGCTCACCTGGCAAGAAGATCCAGCAGGCCAAGAGCAAATCATGTTTGTGGTAGCTCTACTGCACTTTCCTTACTGGGTATCAGCCTAGGGTCCGCGTGGTGTTTTCAATCGTGTTTCCTGCTCTGACTGCAATTAATTCAGAACTGCAAGGTTTACCAACAGAACAGATTTCTCTCTGCAGCATCCATTCCTCTAGCTATGGCACCACAGTGCCTCAGAGGCTTTCCTCCAGCCATTTTGAACACCTGCCCCACACCTTTCTCTGAGCATGTGGAAAGCAATCTCAAGGACAGCTGCTGCTTGCTCTTGCCCCTTACCTTGCTCTGCCCCAGGCAGCTCCCAGGCCTCTGAGGAGAAGGTGGTCAGTGCAATCCCACCGCCTTTGTACCTGGCAGCAGGCAGGACAGGGGCAGTCCGTATCAGAAATGAGTAGAAAACATCAGGAAAGCTGGTAGAGGAGCGTTCCATGCTGTGTGAGGAAGCAAGAGCCACCAGCAGGTAAACTGGCAAGAACCAGATGATGAAACTGGTCATTTGACTGGACACCAGAACATCACCAAATATGCTAGTTAGAGATAAGATCCTGAGCAGCTCTTGCTGTCAGAGATGGAGACAACCCTCTCCACAGGCTGCTGCACCTCCTGGCACTGGGGGGACCTCCGAGGTCATCACACTGCAGACAGGCAGCACCCGCTCCTGATGCAGGTGGGCCGCAGGACGTGGGGATGCTCCACTCTAGGTTTGCCAGGTGCAGCTGAGGGACTGGGTTCTTGTGTCCAGAAACTCCCCTCTGTTAACGATACTCTCTTATTCTCCAGAGCCAGGTGGAACTGAGTGGCTACTATGAAGCTGAGAACACCACCCCTTCTTTGGAGGGCTACTTTTGCTTCAACCCAGCCTCATCAGTGGTTGGCAACCAGAGAGACCCCTTCAGAAAGGTCTTCATGCCCCTCATCTATCTGTTGATGTTCATGTTGGGGACTGTAGGCAATGCCCTGGTCCTGGTCATTTTAGAGAGGTTCAAGCGCTCTCGCACCACCACGGAAAACTTCCTTTTCCATCTCACCCTGGCCAACCTGGCACTGTTGCTTACCTTCCCATTCAGCGTGGTAGAGAGCTTGGCTGGGTGGGTATTTGGGAAGTTCCTCTGCAAGATACTCAGTGCTGTCCACAAGATCAATTTCTACTGCAGTAGCATGCTGCTGGGGTGCATCGCAGTGGACCGTTACCTGGCCATCGTCTATGCAATCCACACCTACCGCAAACGCAGAGCTCACTCCATCCATCTCACCTGCACGGCTGTCTGGCTCTGCTCACTGCTTCTGACTTTACCCGATCTCATCTTCATGGAAGTCTGGACAGATGACAGCAACCGCAGCATTTGCTATTTTCCAGAGGTTGGGATCGATGGCAACAATGCCTGGCTGGCAACTCGCTTCCTCTACCACACTGTGGGCTTCTTTGTGCCCCTGCTGGTCATGTGTTACTGCTACATGGCCATTGTCCGGGTGCTCTGTCAGTCCCAGCGCCTGCAGAGGCAGAAAGCTGTCCGTGTGGCCATCCTGGTGACAGGAATCTTCCTGCTCTGCTGGAGCCCGTACCACATCGTCATCTTCCTGAACACACTTACCAAGCTAGAAGCCTTCACCAAGAACTGCCTCCTGGAAGACCAGCTGGACACAGCCATCATGGTGACAGAGGCCATTGGCTTCACACACTGCTGCCTCAACCCCATCCTCTACGCCTTCATTGGAGTCAAGTTCCGTAATGACTTCTTCCGGATCCTGCAGGAGCTTGGCTGCATAAGCCAGGAGACCCTGCAGGAGATCCTGGAGGTGACAAGGAAGAGTAGCGGGATTGATTCTGACAACACCACCTCCATCTCCACCTTCTAGCTGGAAAAGGCTGCCTGCAAGACAGAACTGGCCTAGGGCTTTCCTTCCTAGTGGCGTACTTGCTGTGGTCTCAGTTACAAGTTTCACAAGCATCCCCACCACTTTTCTTTGCTCCTCAGGAAACAGGTCCAATAGCCACCGAACACCCGAATCCCATCAGATACCTTGCCTGGCTCCTCCTGGTTCTCATACCTGTAGAAATCTGCCTGGCAGCTGTTGGTGAATGCTGGCTGTCCAGTGGTCACTCTCGTGGGGCTGGATGAACCCAAGTGGGTTGAACTGACACTCCCACCTCTCCCTCAGAACGGTGACTGCAGGCATCCTGTGCATGAAGTCAGGCACAAGACTGGGGTGCCAGGGGCAAGGAAAAAAGTGCAGCCAACTAAGCTAAGCAGGTCTCCATTTCACTAGCTCAGGTTGGTACAGACATGCCCAAAGGAAGCAGCAGGACTCATTTGCCACAGCAACTGGAAAGAGAGATGCAGGTAGGACTGATGGGGGCTGTAGAGCTCAATCACATAGCATGGGCATACAGTGCTGAACACTCTCTGACTGCAACATTGTCCTCCTGCTGCACGACATCCCCCCCAGCCAGCCATGACACATTCACCTGCCCGACACAGCTCACGCCAGCAGGTCCTCCCACAGACTAACAGATTTGACTGTCACAGACTCCTTTCCTGACACCAGTTGCATCTTTCCCCACTCATTTGATCTGTTTTACTGCTGTTAAGATCTTCTGTGAGTGGCTGCTGAACTGAATGCCTGACTATGCAAAAGTTTTCCTTTAAGGAAAAACACCAGTTGAAGAGATGGCTTCTGTCTTGTGACTCTGCACAGGGGACAGAAACCACACCGCTTTGTAAGTCTGAAGGTGTAACTTTTTCTTTCAGCTCACTGTATGGCAATTTGTGGGTTCTGAGAGCAAGGAGACCCACTGCCCCAAAGTAAGGAAAAGAGCTCGTTTGCATAATTTCTCTTTGTTTTTAGCGAGGCGAGAGGAAATGCAGCATTTTGCTTTGCACTGTGCTTTCTGATATTTTTCCTCCACCTGCATCAACAGGGCTTTCAGAGATTAAGTGCATCCAGGTGTACAGAGAACAAACCTGGGTGGTGATCTTGCCCTGAACTGCAGCTGAACTTCACTATACCCAAGGGCCCTTCTAAAAACACCAGGCATTATGGAAGGGGTTACGTTACCTCAGTCTGGATCAGGTAGAGATCTCAATAGCTCGTTCTCACATTATGACTTCAGGAGAAAACTCACCAAGTATAAGGCAGTCCACCATTTCCTGCAGTGCTGCATCTTCAAAGATGAAACCTGCAAATAATGGTGACTGTAATTGTTCAAGCATGTACATGCAGCAGAGGAAGAGCAGCTCTCTTTAGCCTGTCCTCTCGTGTTCTCCATGGTTGTACCAGTGAGCAGACCCATTGCAGATGCATTGTAAACGCCTCCCCAGCAGGTTCTGATGAAACTGTGTTTCTACATACATAAAACTGTTACTGAAGAAATGAACAGTCAGAGTGTAGAATTCTTACAGTGGTCACAAAGTAAAAAGAAAATCTGCACACAAAGTAAGAGTGAACAGATTGATTACACATCTATTGTTACTACAGTTTTTAGTACTGGTATGTACAAACCTTTAGAAATGTTTGATGTAAGCTGTAATAAACACCTTCTCATGGACAGTGCTTGTAAGCAGTTGTCTGCAGTCATGTCACTTTCTCGAGGGAAATGCATCAGAGAGCACTGAGAGGGCAGATGTCACCTTTCTGACAAGCACTGCTGTTCCCACATGGGGACCACAGGGCTCACAAGACCACCCTGTTCAGATTCCCCTTCACTGGTGCCGCAGAATGCCCTGCTGTCTTCAGAGTCAGTCCAGATCTACATTAGCTCTCTGCTTTCCAGAGCCTCTTCCACCAACTGGAGCACTTGCTGCCCCAGTTTTACAGCAGCTGCTAACCCAAGTGGAAAGCTGCCCTTGCACCCACATTTGGCTCAGCCAGCCTGGGAATGGCTTGGCTCAGAGCTGGCAGACCCTTCCCCAAAGAGCAGCTGTTGCTCCTCCCACAACTGCCTGCAACCAACCTGCTGAATGGTGACAAGAAAGCAAGAGGAACTTTCCTTCACCACAGAGGAAGCTGGGCTTTCCACTCAGTGAAACCCTCACTGCCTCCTCAAGGTTTGCATGGCTGTCACATGGCCCAGAGCGGGCTTCCCTGCTAAGCACTCATGCCACCAGAGCCACCCCCAGACACCACAGCCCTCAGGCACACAAACCTTCAGGCTCCCCTGTGGAGCTCAGCTCAGCCCCTATTCCACTGCTACCAAGTGAGGCAGACGTACTCTGCCCACCCAGGCCACCAGGAAGAGGCACTGAGCCCAGGGGAGCTCCAAAGTGGCTCTTGCAGGGAGTGGGGAAGTGGCGTGTGGGAAGGCAATCTCACCACCATCCACAGCGCACACTCTGCACCCCCAGCCCTGGACCACGCTCTGCAAACAAGGCTCCAGCAGACAACCCAGAGAAAGCCTTGGTCTCTGCTGAAGGCAACCCCAAAGACAAGGACACAAAGACTCACAACAGCACACTGCTCTGCATTTCCTGCAGGGCAACCAAGACTCCCAGGAGGCAGAGCTGGGGTGTTTCAGCAGAGCATCCTGCTACACGCGCGCGATGATCGCAGGGCTGTGGCAGGCAGTGGAGCGTGCATGCGTGAGCGCGAGCCAGGAACGCATGAATGAACGCGCGCCTGGGAGCGCTGCAGAGAAAGGGCTCCCCCGATGCCCACGCAACCCTCCCAGCAGCTCTTGCACCCTCTTGTCCCCACTGCAGACCCATGGACAATCACGTGGAAAAAGACAGGCACAAGGTCAGGTTTTGAAATTTGTCTTTTTAATAAAAAGGCACCTATAAAACAGGTCAATACATTACAGGCAGCACAGATACCCAAAAACAAGCCTAAAAATTGTTTCAAATAAAAACCAATAAGATGTCTTCACATATTGTATTTATATATTTATATTTATATATATATATTTATATAATGGTACAAAATGACTGGGGAATTTCTCCATGGGATGACAGAGAACAGGTCAGTCACCTTTACCTCAATGTGAAAGCTAATTCCGGGTGCGTGATTATCCGATGTACTGAAAGATGCGGTTTCCCAGCATATGCTTTTTTGGAGCCGGAAAAACATGGCGAAGTCACGGCTAAAAGATGGGCAAACCTACTGTGATTAGGTGGAGTCAGTACACAGAACTCAAGCTGAGAAGCCGAGCAATAAACTACAAGACACAAGACTAGACACAGGTCACGGCAGCAGGCAACCAGCTGATGGCAAACCTTGCCCAGGTCTAACACAGACTGGCTGTCACTGAGCCTCCAGAGGAACTCCTGCCACACTGCTGTTCACAGACATGGTTGGGAGTGGTGCCCAGGGCAGAAGGGTGTTAGGCAGCACTTCTCCCCGTTGTTCAGCCCTCTCAGGGGTAGGGAGAGGGCTGGCTCTAGGGCAGTGCAATTTTGCAGAAGAGCATCGACTGCTGCTCTAGAATCCTCAGCTCTGACCTAGTATTGGAATTTCCCTTTTGTATCCAGGGCTGCTGAGTCAAAAGGCTTTGCTTCTTATTTGTCACTGAAGGACAGGTGTTCCTTCTGTTGCCAGGCAGAAATAGCACTGCACTGCCCCATCCCCACGAGCAGCCAGCACCAGCCTCCTGAGTCCTGCACAGCCGTGCAGCCTGGGGGCTCCAGCTGAGCAGGGACAACACGCTGCCCACAAAGACAGGACTGCAAGCCCCAAGCAACTTCTGTGTCAGGCTGGGCAAAAAGGACAACAGGGAAGGTACGAACACGTGGAGATCTCAACCGGGCTAAAACAACAGCTGTCTACAGACAAACAAAAAACTTCCATATAGAAAATGTTATGGCTTCAAATTAGCCAAGACTAGCTGGTGGGTAATGAGCAAGGTTTGAGGCTGTAATTGGTATTTGGATGTTTACAAGAAACTAGCAGCAGCCAACACCCCAAAGTGCAGCCAAGAGAAGCCACAGCCTTTCAGGCAAGTCAAGCTTAGAAAGAGCTACATCTGTTTGAGCCACATCCTCCCATGTGAACACACTGAAAGGATGGAGAATCCAACCAGCTAACATGGTCAGGTCCAAAGCCTGAGCTGAAGATTATTCCTCTGCTCCAACTGCAAAGGCAGGGATGACCACTGCCTGTTTTATCACCTCAAAAACTGCTACTTGCTCACATCATACACAACAAACCCCTACAAAGCAGGAGACCAAAGCAAGATTCTTCCTCAAATCCAGACCCATGCTTCTTACCCAGTACTGCTTGCTACACAATGCCCCAAAGCTCAAGGTATTCCTAACTGGACTTTGTGACTCCATCTTCTCACAGACTGGATCGAGAGAGCTGCTGGGCTGACGTTTCAGCACCCACCAGCCTGTCCAAACAGCTTGCAAGATGGTGAAAAGTTGCTGTTCACTTGCTACTTGACAATCTCCCTTTCCAAAGCCCTCTCCTCCCTGCAGTACCAAGCTGGGAAAGGTGAGCTCTGTTATAAGAGAGTGTGCTAAGTCTGGCTCTGCAGAGATAATCCTCCAAGCAGTGTTCCCCCAGCAGCTGTGTGTCCCAAGTTCACCGCTGGATGCTGGAATGGGGTCCCTGCAGAAGTCCAGAGACACTGCCATGAGTGCAGAAGTGTGTGCACATAACCCCACATTCCCCTCTGTGAACAAACACAGGACAGACCATCAGGACCACGTGCAGGAAGACCTTATGGAGTGCAGGATGGGGAGGATGGAGCGCATCCAGAAAAGCCAGAGTTGTCCAAATGGCACACTTCTGCCAGCTTGGGAATGAGGGATTGCAATGCAACTTCAGCCTCTTCTGTCTGAAACACAGAATGGCCATGCCACTGACACCAAACAAGACTTACACTAAGGTGGAGTATTGCACGCAGGGACAGGTCCTCTTCAACAGCTGGACCTCTCCTGTGTCACAGGGCAGGACTGCTGCCAGTAGCTCAGGGCGAGATGGAACAAAGACTGCCTGTGAAACTCTGGAGGAGAAGGACCAACAAGCATGAGGAAGACCTGGGAGAGCATTCAACAGGAGAGGGGGCGCAGGACAATGGCAGACGGTGATGTATGGGT